TGTGGCATCAAGGTAACAGGAGTTAATGTGTCCCTGAATCCCTTTCATTTTTCCCACTAACAAAAGTGGCGCCTCGGATTCAGGGATAGGTGGCACATCTTCGGCCGTGTCTTCATATGGAGGAACTAAAGAGGCGAGAAAAGCAGATGCTATGATGAAATGACACTTTAACACAGTCTTCGTGACTTTACTGGCAGCTTTAGATGGGAATGATTAATGATTAATCGGCTTATTTAAAGCAGAAAGCTCACAGGACTGTCAGACATGACAAAAAGTGTGTCACTGTGTGCACTGTCTCAAGTCTTACGTAATTTCTTGTCACCAAACCCTGCCAAAGAGAGAAAGGTGTGGGAATATTCGGAGGAGAATCATGTGGAAAAGGTTCTATACTATTTCACTGTGCGTTACACCATTTACAAGCCGTGTGAAACACAGGTATAAATTACAGATAAACAATACATTTTTAAAAAGCTGCCCAAAAGTTTTAAGTATGAATTTTACATAATCCTCACGCCCTGATCAAGAGTTCTTTTTGGAAAACTTCGCATTTTGCATTTTTGTCTTGTAGACTAAAGGATTTTGAGCAATCATTTGTACAATAAAAACTATAATATAATAGAAACATAAGGAACCAAAACACTTTGAACAGAACTGCCAGGAAAAAAGGAAATCTGTTCCAATAATGTAAATTTGTGTATAATATCAAGTTTTTATTTCTTGTGTATGCATGTTTTAGACTGGGTAAGGTGTCGAACCTGGAGGGGTGTCAGTGGATTTGAGGATCTCTTTTCCTGTAGAGGCACTTAGAAACCTGCCATCGGGGCTGCACTTTGTGATGGGAACAAACAAAGCTCTTTTCTCCTTGCAAGTGAAAAACCGCTGACCACCATACATCCCATCAGAGCAGCCCTTAACGTCGTAGTCCTGGAATAGTGATTTATAACATTAATACGACAGATCACCAAAGCACACTAAAAGCAACTGCACAAATTTCTAGTCACGCACCAGTTCAATGCCAGCCCATTCACCAGTCTTTCCTCCAGGGACACCCAACCACCGGATGACCCCGTACACTGTGATCCCTGAGTTGGAAACCACCTCCACCACGGATCCCACCTCCAAAGGCACTGAGCTCAGACTCTGGTTCTGAATCAAACTCTGCTCGGTGTGATTCTCTGTCGCTGGCTGTGCACAAGATCCGATGTTTGCAATGCAGCTGTTGCGTGTCACCGCCTTTCTGTTTAAACCTGCAGACATATATCACGATATGTAGAGGTGAGGATGAGATGCCTAGAAAGTCATATGACATTTTCCTTTTTTTTAGGCTTGTCACATGCTGCTTCATCAGATTGACATCCAGCTAACAAAGATCTATATTTGAAGTATGTAGATAGTTTCAAGTGCACATTCTACTAAAGGAAAAAGAAAGGCAGATCATGTGGCAATTCTACTGTTCTGCATTCCAGAACAACAGAACCAGTTTTTCCAGTTGTGTAGTGGGACCACTTTCTTTGCATTCTTAGGGTTGTGGTTGGGGAAGCAGTTTTCAAGAATTTAGTTTGCTGTTTAGTAAGAAGTAGGTGCACCATGTTTGTAGTTGTGGTAGTGTTGTTATCAAAACATAAGGACTTTGATAAAGCCTGAGAGCCATCATATGGCTTTGAAACCGACTTGTTAACTTTGTGTGTGAGGCTAATAATCCATTTACCCCCACAAATGGCATCTTTCCACTGCAGTCCTAGGGGGACAGAGTAAGATGGGACCACCTGGATGATGTCTGCAGCACTGAAAAGGGACAGAGGTGGTTTCTTGGATGACAAAGTATGATCGGTGTCCTGTGTAGGAAACAAGGAAAAACAGTTACTGAAACGCAAACAGGAACTCTGGCGTTATTCTTCTATACAGAACAGAAACAGTTTGATGCATCTGTACATTTGCAGTGACATTATCTGGCTGCAGTCGCCTGACTGATCACTCAGAGCGATATAGTCATCCTTATCTGGTGCATTTTAAAGCATTAAGGTCGCACTTGAGAG